CAAGTGCATTACTACTAGTAACAAGAAACTATTAGCAACAAGTGCATCGCTATTAGTAACAAGAAGGGATTAGTAACAAGTGCATTGCTATTTGTTTTTGTTTGTTTGACGCTTTTTTATATGTTTTTTCGATTTTCCCTCAAGGCACCAAGCGATCCCACAATGCGCATTGTGCGCACTGGGGTGATGGGCCTGGATACCCAGCATACACAGTGAGGGAAGTTGAGCTTTGTTTTTGATACATGAGTTTCCCCAGGAACACATGGGTATTCCCTACTCTAGACTCCAGATTACGGTAATGTTATCAGAGACGTAGTTACATGGTTACATGGTTCCTTTTCCACAATTTGTTACATGGTTCCTTTTTTGCTCTTTTCTCAGCATGTGGAACGGATTGATAATAACGTTTGTGCAGCTTCTCCATGTCAAGCTTGATGGCTTCACCTTTTTGATGCTCACCTTGTTGTGGCTCCTCTTTCTGAGGCATGTGTTCAAGTATCTCCTCTGTATCTTGACTGGAAGAGCTATTTTTAGGTTCAATCGGCACCGTGGATCACTCCACTCTTTGCCTTGCTGAGGATACGGTCTCCAACTCTTTGCGAGTCTTGAAGACCATTCGTCAGAGCTCTGAGGACGGCTAGAAGTGGCCACGGACGACTGGTTCGCGTTAGGAAAGACATTTGCGATTGACTCTGACTGACTCCGACTGACTAAGATGGAACCCCAGGACCTCTTGCTGCAATACCAGTGTAGCTTTTCTGCAGGAAGCGGAAGGCTATTGGGAATCTGCCCAGCGAGTGATCCAGCGTCAGCTGGCTCAGATCATTGTATTGTACTCTTTGTGGGTGCAGAAAACTTTCACTACCGTATTTGAGTGGAGGCTTTCGAAGGATGCTTTTGAAACTGCACCTTGCTTGATTGACAGCTGGAGCGCCGATCTTAGAGTAGCCGTTCTTCAAGACCCGATACCGAATCGTTTATTCATTCCTTCCCAGCATCATGGCGGAACCTTCCATGACATCCAAGTGCTTGGCGGAATCTTGGCCAGAGCTGTATTTTCAGAGCTGATTTTGTACCTCCAAACATCGATGTCTGGCTGAAGCATTGCTAGTGCATCGCTATTAGTAACAAGTGCCTTACTACTAGTAACAAGGGCGCTACTAGAGGCTCCTGGCCTTACTACTAGTAACAAGGGCATCGCTACTAGTAACAAAAGAGCAATCCAGAATCCTCTGCTATTTGTGCTTTGTAAGGAGTTCATCGGTACTGCTCTATTGATTTTCACTGTCGAGTGCAACGTTTTGGTGGCCAAGTCAGAAATCAGTTTGTAGCAATGGCAAGCAGCTTTTGATGCATTCTAGATTGCTTGGAAGACTTTTCAAGGGCATTAGGTCTTGGAGTCTTGGACTCAACTATTCCGTGCTGCCAACAAGCATGCACTTAAAGTGAAGGGTCCCCGGTCTTCTGCTTGAGAGCTCCTCGCTGTTACAAGCAACATGTTTTCTTTTGCACTTCCTTTAGAGGGAAAGTTCTTCAAAGGCCTTTAGTACAGCTAAGCACGCTTTCTTTACCCGGACGTTTTAGAGCCACCTTCAGAGCTGCACTGTACTCCAGTGAGCAGGGTTGTACTTAGCCTGCTCAGTGCTGCTTGCCAAGGTGGGTTCTCCCCTTTTCGCTGGGCTGTCCATTGGCACCGTGCTTTTTGTTGCCATCCAGGTAACTACTCAAGCTTTTGTTTATTCCAAACATGGCACTGGCAGGAGAAGAATACTTTCAATTTTGTCTTGGTGAGTTGCAACGTAAAAGCACTAAGCATCAAACTGATCAAAACCTTGCAGGCCCTTGGAGGCATCAGCGGTGGAAACTTCAACCCGGCAGTGTCTGTGTCCTTGGGCTGTGTGAGCGCCTTTGGTGGCCCTGGAATTCCCTGGAAACAGGCAACACGGACAACTGACTGATCCAAACACATGGAGTCAACGGAGTTGTGATAGAGAATTCTGATCAAATGAATCACTCCACATGTTTTCGGTTGTTTTGGTATTGTTTTTGCCGCTCATTTGTTATTCTATTTTGCACGACTAGTTTCACATATTCTTCTTCGTGCCACTTTGTTTGCAGCCTGAATCACAGGCCTTGGGGCTGGGAGCTTTTAGAGCAGGAAAACAACCAAGACCGAACCCACCTTTTGGGATGCTTCTTGAAAACCTTCTTCGGGCTTCTCGTGCACAGCCATCACAGCTGCAGGTGGGAATCTACTGTTTGACCCAGGCCGAAAAGCTTGAATTTGCAGTGAAGTAAAATAAAAGAAGCCAAGGATTCTTTGCAATTGAACTCAATTTCGCTGGCCAATGTCTTGCAAGCAGCAACGAGACAGGTAGGACTTGATTCAAGTCGACCAGATGATGATTTATTTTTGGGAATATCCGGACAGTCAAAGATCTTTTGTTGCTCTCGTTCGCAGATTGTGGGTGGTACTGTGGCTGCCCTGACGGCCTCCCTCATGTTCGGCAAGTCTGCCAGCTTGGAGGCGGACCTGTAGCTGAATGGCACCAGCTGTATCACACGAAAGTCATGTTGTTTCAGATTCTGTTCTGTTTGCAAGAGCCTGACTGAGGTTGTTGAGATTGGTAGCAACCTTCCAGTTCAAGCTCAACAGATGAGCAAAGATCCTTTGCACTAGTCCCATCTAGTCCCGACAGTCCCAAGATGATTTTTTCTCCAATAGTTGGTTGGCCACCGTCATTATATATTTTTTGTCGTTATCTTGCCCCATTCTTCCTGAAGTGTTGGGAGGTGACTTCCGGCTACACTATGCTCTCAGCTGGCATGTGTGAGCTCTTCTACACCTTCATGCTGCTGGACGACTTGTTCAGATTGTGTAGCTGGTAGCCGTTTTGAAGTGTTCTCAGTTCTGAAGTTTGCATTTTGTTCCGACAAAACCAGAGGGTGGGTCCGGTGGGTGGGGTCTATCTCATTAAGAAAGACACACGGAGGCTTTGCTTCGTGGTGCTCAACGTAGCTGCAGCCAAGAAGAACCAAGAGGACTGCTCAAATGGTGCGAACGTCTTACACAACCAAGGAGGCGTGTCATGATAGCGTTTGTTTCCTCATACTATGCTGAAGTTAATTAGGGACTAACCTGGTGCAACGAGAGGAGACTGAGAGGCAGCAAGTGCAAATGAAGGATCCATCACTAGCATTCTTGTGACTTTGCAGTTGCTGCGCTACACTTGCATTCCGACCAGGAGAAGGGCCAGTACTTTGCGTTGGCCATTGGCTTTTGTGTGGTGGCAGGTGCTTATGGTGCTGGTGTGATCTCTGGTGGTGCCTTCAATCCAGCTGTTGCCTTCTCTTTGGATGTCACCAGCAGCTCGGAGAGGGGCATTTTATTCCGAGCGTGACAAAAGGACGCCCAAGGACAAGTTAGTAATGTAGTTTGTAATGCAGGTGGCTTGGTAGCATTTTCGTGATGTCAAAGGCCACAAGACCTTTCAGAAGGTAGAATAAATGCGTTGAGCTACTTTCTTTTTTCCTCTCTCTCTCTCTCTCTTGCGATTGTCGAAGACTATCCGTGGCCGCGGTTGCACCCAATTCTTAATTCAATGCAAAGGCCCATAAGAAGTCAGCACCGACAAGGGTTACTTCAGAACCAGCTATCGGGCTCCTTCGGGTTTTCAACATGCTAACGCGAACTGCAACAAAACTTAAATGGCAGAGAGGTCAGCAAAAGCAGAGCAAGCCCTGCGCTGATCTATGCCAAGATGGACTGACAAGGCAACAAGGCCAAACGGTCATGGTCCAGTCTATACATTCATGCCACGGTATTGCTGCGGGCGCGCGCAGGCGATCGCATGGCACTTACTAGGCCGCTACGCCCTGCGCATGTGCGCAGCTCTTCTCACTTCTTGTTGGGGCTCTAGCCACCTCTTTTTGTTCTTCCTCTGAACATTCGTTTCTGACTGCCCGGCATGGACTTCAAGTAAGTCGCCGAAGTTCTGCTGCGACTTGAAGAACACCTTAGCTGGGTGCTTGCCCTCCATGTACTTCAGGTGCTCGCCGAAGTTCTGCTGGGACTCTGGAAAGCCACTTCGCTTGGTGCTTTCTTTGCAAACTTCCATTTTCCTCTCTGACTCGTCATTTCCCTGCATAGGCCTGTCTTGGTCTCCAAAGTGCCGGATTAAGAACATCCGCGGAGTTGGAGTCAATACAACATAGGTGAAGACACCGTCGGAAACCAGCGCCAACTTCCAGTCAAAAAACTGAGAAAAATCAGAGCCAGCAAGCACGGAGCAATCCCCATTTCATTCCAAGCGTGACAATAGGACGCCCAGGACAAGTTAGTAATGTAGTTTGTAATGCAGGTGGCTTGGTAGCATTTTCGTGATGTCAAAGGCCAAAAGACCTTTCAGAAGGTAGCTTAAGCGCGAATGAACTACTTTGAATCGAACACTCTGCAGTGCGCTTTCTTGGACATGTAGAAACATGTGGAAGTGATACCCCTTTCCTCATCCATCGGCACGAATTCTTCATGAGTTTTGCCCAGGGACCTCAAAGCCAGGATTTGTGAGCCCCGCGCCTCAAGGTCTGAGTCATGGCTTTGGGCGCTGCTTCTTCTATGCAATTTTTGAGTGGTTTGACTGCACAAAGGGATTTGTTCCGAAGGACTTCAAGACAAATTGCCAGATATCTATCGATTGTACTGGCTCTTCTAGGGTTTCGCAAGATTTCAATTCAAGTACAAAGCTCAAACCAACAATTTGAACTACTACAGATCCTTTGCAGTTGCGGCCACTGCTTACTTAATGTGTGCCCCCTGGCAGGTTCTTGGGTGCAGTCTTGGCTGCCTTTCTCTTCAGCAAGGTGCGACCTGGAGACTTCGGTTCTGAGCCAAGCCCTGCAAAGCTCCGGGAGTCGCTGATGCTCGGCGAAGAAAGTCAAGTAAAGCGCATAAAGTATCATGAAGTGCATAAAGTATCATCAAGTGCTGGAAATGAGAAGCTGCGCGCATCTGTTTTGAAAGGAGAGAAGCACAACTGCTGATGCCCAGGCTCAGCGAGTTCTTGGGCGTTTTTGTTCTGGTCCTGACGGTGAGCACAAACATCTTGGGAGGCACGCGATATAGAAACATTTGCGACACTACATAATACGAACACAGACACCTGCAGAGACCAAACTACAAGAAAGAACCTGTGATGCTTCCTGGCTTTTTGCAAAGGAACGCTTGTGCTACAGACCAGGGTCACTGGAGTGGCCTTCAGCCTTACTCTTATTCTAAGCAACGCCAGGTTCAAGCACAGCAGCGCTCAGCATTGCATGTTCATTGTCCGCTATGATCTATGCTTTGGGAGATGTGTCAGGCTGAGACTGTTTTGGGTTGGGTCCTGCATTGGGCCCATGCAGTAGACAAGTGATTAAGCTGCAATCCCTTGGTACTCGCGTCGTTTGAGTCTGTGGACCTCTCCTGCAGGCGGCCACTTCAATCCTGCAGTAACGTGTGCTGTCTTCCGCAGCGGCCGTGACAGCACCTTCACATTGACGAAGGCGCTGCTCTACATGGCGGTGCAAGTGCTTGCAGGCGGATCTTTTTGAAGAAGCAGCCACTTATTGAACTATGAAGATCTAGTGAAGAGTTATCTACATACAAAGCTAGTTTGCATCCAAGCTGACTCCAAACCGCAAGGTATCGTCGCGGCCCTTGTCGCTGTGGGCATCTTTGGTGCGAAGATGGGAACCTTTGGAGCCAAGGCCCCGTACCATCTTCATCAGGTGCGACGAAACCAAGCACCAGCTGACGGAAACGGGGAGTTTACAGAGTTTAAACGTTACATGTCCGTGGACTTTGACATTTTGAGCCGTGTAAAGGCTTTGTTGGGCGAGTTGGTCTTCACCTTCACCTTGTCTTATGTGGTCCTTGGTGTGGCTGTCTCTGCTGTGACAAAGGCATGGCTCTGCCCTCCTTTGATGACTACACGCGCTATTTGAAGAGATTTAAAGTCAAAATGTTCCAGCACATAGAAACTGCTTACATGATGTGCAGTCAATCCAGGCGTCGCACTTCTTTGGATTGGCAATTGGCTTCTGCGTGGTCGTCGGGGGCTTCGCTATGGGAAATGTCTCTGGAGGATCTTTGAACCCTGCGGCGTCTTGAAGCAAAGTGATCCGCGAAGGATTTTCTTATGAGCTTTCCTCAACACAAGGACCTGAAGTTTTGGGTGCTTGACTCAATAGGATCACCATTTATTTGTGCTCCTGTCAACGTTTTAGCTACAACTACTGTTGTACTTTCTCTAAAGGGCAGTTTGCCCAGAAAAAACCAAAAAGAGACTTGCACATGATATGCAGTGAATGCAAGACCTTGTCGATGATCTATGCACTGCCGTATAACCGTCGCTGTCAACACCACTTTGACCAACTCGAAAGGCTGAAAGGTCGGTAAGATCTGCAAGGTGAGTCTTGGTGAAGCGGTGAGAAGAGAACATGATGCTTGACTCGGGCCTCTAGAATAAGGCCAGTCAAATGTCAAATAACATACATATAATATAGTAGCAATAGCCTAGTCTGTTCCTTGTTGTTGCAACTTCAAAACGGGGACCTTATTCAAAGGGCCCAAGTCAACCTTCTATTTTTCTTTGGGTTTGATCATTGGCGGAGTAATGTAAGGTGAGTCTTGGTCTGGCAGTCTCTGGCGGTGGTGCCGGTAGTGCTGCCGCCTATGTCCTGGTGGAGCTCTTGGCGGGTTTCTTGGCCGCGACTGCCTTCAGTGTGACCCACCAGGCAGGATGTGGATCAGGGCGAGAAAGGACGGACGAAGATTGAACGAGAAGTTGTTGAAGTGCTCTCGAACCCACCCGGAAACGTAGGTATTAGAGCGGTTTGCCAGAGGCCAACATTTTGTGAAATGGGGCTCTTGGCGGAAAATGGATTTCGGACACGGCAGCTCAAAGCTTGCACTGTGCAGGTGGAGTTGGAGTCCCCCGAAGCCAAGAGAATCACTGCTGACGCGTGAGATATGTCAATGTCTGTAGAGCCAGCTATAGCAGACCACAAGAGTGTGCAGACAATGGGAACACGCCGTTTCCAGGGCATAGACTATCGCCTCTAGTTTCAGCCTTCGGATAAGGAGAAAAGGATGACAGCAAGCTGGTGGATGATAGACACAACATCCTATCTCATCCTATCTCATACTTTACCGGGTCATGCCATTGAACATGGGTGAGAGTAGCCGGTATGCACGGCAGGCATAACGTTTGATTACAGGGCAGGATCGTTAATTGGAAATCTATTTCACCGATGGGGCTCAGTTGAGCTCAGGCGACGGCATTGTTGGACTTCTGGGCCGAGGCTTAGAGCCTGGGAGCCCAAGGGTTTAACATGAGGCCAAGAGATCTTGACAAGTTTGAAGTACTATTGTCGTGAGAGATGAAGCATTGTGGCCTCACCCAGCACAGCGATGGAGATGTTGGTGGATTCATTTTGCGCTTAAACTACTTCTGCTTGATTTTGTCCATCAAGCTGTTGGGAATTTGAGTCAGGGTTCACATCCAGCTTGGGAAATCAGGGCTTTATTGCCGAGCTGAGGACCAGGCTGCTGGTGAATGTGCTGCAAGGTCAGGGCAACGCTCTCGTAACTGGTGCCAAACATTTGAAGAGATGAGGTGATGCTCATACAGCGTGGTGCGAGAATGGGTGACATGTTCCAGGCACGTTCTTCACAATTGTTTGGAAGACCGTGGAAGAGAAGCTGAATTCTGGTGCGGGGCCTGGTCGGGACAGCTGGAACCTAGTGCAATTTTGCTTGGACAAGTTCCAGTCTTGCCGGGGATGTCCACAGATACCTTATGTTGGAACCATGTTACCTTTTGCATGCTGTTGATGCCTTTCAAATTGCTAGTCGGAGGCTTCTGAGCTTTACCACTTCTGGATTGCTAGAGCCGATGGCAGCTGGTACGCTGTACAGAGTGCAACAACTTTAGCCGAGGGCAGCTTGCGACCAAAGGTGGAATGTCGCTCAAGACAACCTCGGATCGGAACAGTTTGGTGGCGGAGGAAGATTTTGAAGCGCTTAGAGATCCAAACAAAACTCTGAAGGAGATCCTCTGGCTTCGCCTTCCTTTGCTCATTTTCGGTTGCCACCAGTGCAGCCCCAGATCCGCGCCCAAACAAACGTGCGGCAAAAAGTACATGTTGTGTTTGTCCAGTCATCTCTGTTCCTTGGTTTGCTGCAAAGTACACCACGCGTTTTCTCCTCTGACCAGCGGCTGCAGCAGTTCCTGTTCCGATAAAGCATGTGATGCTCATGTTGAAATGGTCTTCATTTTCTGCCCGCGCAACAGCCGAATAACCAGGAAATGACATGGAATCCACCCCATAGACAGGACAAACTGCAGGTGGTCTTTGGCCTTGCTCTTTACACGCAAGTCGTGGAGCCTGTCACATGCCGACACTCCGAACTTTGCAGGTGGGCCAAGAGCCGATGTGAGCAGCATGAAGCAACATAAGCTAGTCTATATGTATATATATATATAAATAAATTTCCACCCAACAAATGTAGAAACCTGAGCTTGTTTGCATCAATCAAGTCTGAGCTTTTCTGCATGGTTTCTAGTAGCAGTAGTAGTGGCCTGCTGCTAGGCCTTCACGGCCTGCCGGAAAAACACACACATATATATATATATAATTAAATATGTATTACATATGCCAGTCGAGAGCGCGCGGACGACGAAATGTGTTTGCGCCCGTAGCTTGGGGCTCTAGAGGGTTTAGGGCCAGGCATCCATGGAGCCTGAGCCCGTGGCTAGGCTCCTTAAGGAAGGGTGGGCCCGTCCCACGCGCGCTTTCTTTGATGACATGCCACGCCATGAGATCGACGAGTTGCTGCCGGGCATCACCGAGAGCTGGGACGACAACGACTACCTCACCTTGAAGCGGGAGGCGAAGAGGCAGAAGCTCCGGATGGACTTGGACGATAATCTGTTCTTGCAGCACCAGGCCTTGCTCTTCAAGGACAAGGCCTTCATAGAGAGGAAGTTGGATGACACGCCTTTGGGGCTGGCAAGGATCGGAGCTGATCTGCAGATGGTTCGGTCCACCCTTCCACGTGTAGGCTGGCGCTCAGGTTTGCATTGACGAGTTGCAGAGGGCGCCACGCAGGACCAGCGGGCTAAGATCGAGGAGAAGGAGAGAGAGAAGCGTATCTAGGAGCTGGTTGACCTCCTGAAGAAGACGGGCATGATAGATGGGGACAACCCCCTTGGAAATGCATCCAAGTACTTGGCGGCAAGATACGCCATGGGAAGAAGGGCGAACACCATCAGGCAGCATGTCAAGGTTGGGACACGGTTGCGCGAATACATGTACAAGATCTTCGGCATCCCATGGCTCCGAGACGCAGGTGATTTGATTGGGTATATTTCCCTTCGTATGGAAGAGGCGTGGGGCAAGACGGTTCCAGGTTCGCTCTACAAAGCTGTCGTCTTCCTGGAGACCTCAGCTGAGGTGCCACCTGATCGCAGGGTGTCCAGCTCCCTCGCCCTACAGCACTTCCTCCAGGAGATCGAACGGTCTGGCGGCCAAAGGAAAGGGTGAATGCAGCCCGTTGGACATTGGAAATGGCCATCGCTTTAGAATATGGAGTCATGAACAAGGACATGGTCAAAAGCGTTTACAGTTGGTACAAGCTTGTAAAACTGTGGGGAGCCCTTCGAAGTCATGACACGGAGGCCATCCCGCCCGCTTCCATCAAGTTTGACAGGACGGACGGGTTGGAGGCGCAGATCATGAGGACCAAGACAGGGGTCAGGACGAAAGATAGAAATTGTGCACCTGTTCATTTCTGCGCACGCATGGCTGGTGTGCCGTGACTGGCTTGTTGAGGGATTGCGCCTGTATAGGAGCATGGATGGCAGCGAGAAGGCCTCCACTAGGGATTTCATGATGTGCCTTCCTAGTGCTGATCTGAGGTCATTCAGGACGACCATGATGAGGTACCCGAACGCAATGGTCTTCTCCAGGACCCTGATGACGGAGCTGTTGTCGCAGCGGAAGAACCAGTTCGGCAACTATGAGACCTTGATGGAGGCGGCCTCGAGCTCTTTCTGGTCCGAACACTCGGAGAGGGTGACGATCGTCTCTTGGGCGGCCTCATGTGAGGTGGACAGGGAGACCAGGGTCCCCCTCGGTTGACGAGGACTATGTCACCTCGACGAGAGCGCTGCTGTTCAGCGCCCAGCGGAAGATGGCGTCCTTGCTCAAAGAGCAGTACGGGGTCAAGGACGTCGTAGTCGTAGATGATACACTTCACTCCAGGGGGTGTGCCACAAGACGGCGTCGGAGGCCAACAACGAGGCCAGGCGCATTGCGCCGCCCAATTGGGGAGGATGGGAAGAGCGCCCCAGGCTGGCTGCTCCATACCTCCACCAAGCTGGCCTTCGCTTACTTGAAGAGTCCATAGGGGGACCGGCCGACGAGGCCTCTTCCTTCGTGGCCTGCTGTCTTAGGAGAAGTGTTCCGGGCTTTTCACACCACGGACACCAAGAGAGCCAGGTGGTTTTCAGTCAAGCTCAGCAGGACCACTGCACCCTTCCTGTATGTGAAAGGAGAGCCCTTCAAGACCATAGCTAGTGCAGAGCTCCTGGCCGTCACTCTGGCCATCATGGTCTTTGGGCCCGAAGGTGGTTGGAAGAAAGGGGCAGGTCGGGTTGCAGTGACTGGCCTCACCGATAACATCTCCAACGCTACTTGCTTGAAAAATACCTGACCACTAAGTTTCCCACCTCCTTGGTTCTCATGGAGTTGTCCAAACAACTTGAACTCTACGACCTTGACCTCCATCTGTCGTGGATACCCCGCGAACAGAACGAACCAGCCGACGACCTTAGCAAAGGTCGCTTTGGGGACTTCACCCCGGAAAACCGCTTGGAGGTGAATATGGACGAGCTCAACTACCTGGTTTTACCAAGGCTGCTTAAGGCAGCCATGGAGTTCGACGAGGAGATCAAGCTCAAGAAGACTTCTAAGCAGAAGTCGACCACGGCAGACAAAGCTGCTCCTGAAGAACGTCTCCGCCTGACTCAGCCTTGGTAGCTGAAGAGGGGAAGACGGCTGAGGAAGTCGGAGCACTCAACCCCATGAAAAGAGAGCAAAGGAGCTCACACACACATATGTATATATAAAACTGTGTCGAGCTTTGGGCAGGTTTGGGTGCACAGTCTTCATTACATTTGGTACACTGTCCATTTTGGCTCAAGCCAAAAGTGGGACAGTGGAGTTTCTGTTCTGCTTAAGTTTTGCTGTGTGTGCTGTGGATGGCTTCGCAGCCGATCGTCGGTGTGCATGTCGCCATGTTCACGGCTGCTGAGGTGCTTTCGTCCGCCGCGTTCATCGAGTTCCGTCGCCAGGTCGATGCCCTTTTGGCCCGGGGGGACCGGGCAGGCGCGCTGCGGCTTTGGAGCTCGGTGGTTCTATTCGAACACATGCCTCCGTCTTCACGCGCGGGGGACGGGCCAGTCGGTTTTCCCCCTATGCGGATCTCAGTCTGTCCTAAGAGTGCATGCCCACGGTGCGATCAGGGGCGAGGGGGCTATGTGTTCCCGTGGGTCGGGATTTGGAACCGGCGCGGGACGATCGTGCCACCAGGGTTCACTCCTCAGCAGGCCTGGGATAGGCATGCTCGGTTGGACGCCGCAATGGACCTCCTCTTGTTGCAGCCCTACCGTACCCCGTGTTCTGCAGAGATTTTTGTGCCTATCTGTGGGAGTTCCAGCAGAAGGTTCCCGGGGATTTTGACCTCTTGCCCCTGCAAACCTTTCAATCTGAAGTTCTCTACTACATGCGGCGCTGGATCATGGGATCACCACACGGGTCTGTGGTCCAACCCCTTTCGTGCCCCGCTGCCAGATATTGAGCACTTGCCGCGCCATTTGGACGCTCTTCACCCGAAGATTCGTGCCCATCGAGCCCTTCGTGGATGGTTGGGGTCCTCAATCAACGGAGAGTCTGAGTTTCCTCCAGCGTGTTGCGGCTGTGGTGATCCCACTTATCGGCAGTGCCTTGGTTGTATCAAAGGAGTGTGTTCCGCCTGCTTCCCAGTGCTCCAAATCTGTCCGGTTTGCCGCGAACTTTCGTCGTCTGATGACGATAGTGGGTCGTTCAGCGGGTGCGCAAGCCATGGTGTACCGTGCGCAAGTCGCTGGAGCTGTGGACGCTCCGCCGGATGAGCCGGCCTCGTCCTCTGGTTGGCGGGCCGAAGATAGCCTTGCTCGCGTGGCAGGGGCCGAGCCATTACCTGGCGACGTGAGCGTGGCTATGAGAAGGACGAGGACTTTGCATTCCTCCGCTGGCTCGCAAGAGGAAGGAAGTTCCACTTGAGGCGGGGGTACGCCTTCATGAACGTGTCCAGGACCAGCCTGAGTCCATACAGCGCCAACTGTTGGCCCTGCAGAAGGTGTTCCTGACGGTCGGTGCATTGAAGCCAGCTGGCCTGTTGACTGAGGCCCTGAAGCGGGATTGGCAGGCCTCCGTTCTTCGTTTGGCCCAGACCAAGGTGGCGGAGTCTGAGTCGGTGACGATTCAGAACGCCCTCCGTACTTACGGGGAGCTCCACGCCTTCTTGCTCCACCGTGGGAGGTCGTTTCCTCCGGACTTTGTGGACATGGACAACTTCCTGCATCAGGGGACGATGGCCCCTACCCGCGCGCTCAATGCGCTTCGCTGGTTGTGCAAGCATTCAGGAGCTCCTGGGGAAGTCGGCCGTCTTCGTATCTCCCCTGAGCTGAGGAAGAAGGCCACCTCGACGAAGAGCCAAGCCCTTGTGGTGGAGCCCGGCATGCTGCAGTTGTTGGAGGAGCGCATTGAGAGCATGTGCCGTGGGGGGGACCCGCGATGGACATGTCTCTTGGGCTCCTGGCTTGTGGCTACTGGTTGCTTGCGGTACCAGCATCTCCGTCGATCCACTGTTCGTCGAATCAGTCCACTGGTGTTCCATGGCCATTGTCGCAAAGGCAAGCAGCGTCACGCCCGGGGTGGATTCGATTGGTGTGCTCCTGCTGAGTTTGCTTCCGGCTTCAACTGGACGGTTGATTGGCTCAAAGCCTGGAAAGCCCTCTCTCCGGTGGCCCAGAAGAGCGCAGGGATCTGCTTCGACAGGCGTGGGACGCCTTGGAACATTGCGGAGGTGCACCTCTGCCAGTCCATCTTTGCCGAGTTCCTGGACAATACTGAGCAGTTGACCACCTACTCATGGAGGCGCATGCTGCCTACAGTGGGCCACATTCTGAATCTGTCGTCCTCTGACCTTTGTTCCCTCGGCGATTGGCAGGACAAGTCAAAGGAGCCGGCTGAGGCAGGAATGGCATTGCGCTACTCGTCAGCTCGCTATGCCCAGTCGCTTCGCAATGAGATCCTGACCACTTCAGTGGCCCATAGCTGTGAGGGTCACAGCTTCTGCTTGGATGTGCGGTT